TTTTGACAGTTAAATTATCCAAATCGGACCAGTAAATCAAAAGTTATTTAATATTAAAGATTTATAATATATATATATAATTTATATAATATATATTTTTTTATATTTGATTATACTATATTATATATATATATACGTGATCACCCCTGACTAGGGTGTTCAGGATTATGCGATTGCATAATATGCGCATAATTTACTATTTTTTGCATCTTGAATGCGTTCGTATAATCAAGCAAAAAAACGCATCCTGGTCATGTGGATAAAATATGATTAGTTGATCTGACATCATAAATAAATTTATAACAATGAGAACAATAAAAAGAATAATGGTGATTGTTCTTGAATATCCATAACAATAAGAGCAAAAATATCGTGAAGGTAATTTTGCATATATATAACTAATATAGAATAGCCCTAACTCTCTAAAGTTAACAATAAGATCAATAATATGTAGTGATTGTTCTTGGATATCCATAACAGTAAAAGCAAAAATATCGTGAAGGAGATTTTGCATATATATAACTAATCTAACACTAATATAGGATAGCCCTAACACTCTAAAGTTAACAATTAGATCAATAATACGTAGCGATTGTTCTTGGATATTCATGACTTATTAAATTTTTTTTTTTTTTTTTTTTTATAAAACGAAGTTACAAATTTTTTTGCAGTTCTGGCTTGTTAATAAAAAAGCTAGATATTTAGTTAAAAAACGCAAAGCAATATGGTTATAGCCACTGAACGGCTTCATAGAAACCCCTTATATAAAGATGATTTTTACGCAGACGGAGGAAAGCTTTTTTGTCGGTTTTGTCAAACCACTGTGGATCATGATCAAAAATCTGTTATTGATAAACATTTGATATCTTCTAACCATCAATCAAAAAAACCTTTGCACTTAATGTTCAGAATCCTCAAAAAACTCCTGTTCAACGTGCAATTACTACTTTTCATAAGCCTTATGATGAGAAAGAACAATTTGTTCTTGATTTTATTAAAATATTAGCCGAGGCTGATATATTTTTTGAAAAAATTCAGTATTTTCAATCTTTTTTAAAAGTACATTGCAAATATGGTATGTAAAATTTTTATTTAGCAACGAAAATAATTAATTATTACTATATATAATAATTTACTTTTAATAGGTGGTGCGGTTCCTGGTGCTAATCAAGTTTGTAAAAAGTACTTTCCGATTTTGTTTATACGAGAAGAAGAAAAACTTAAAAATTTATTAATTGGAAAAAAAATTTGCATTATGATAGATGAAACGATGGATTCATGTAGCAGGGCTGTAGTAAATATTTTATTTAGCTATTATGATTGAACCCATTTGGTTAAAACGGAATACTTGCAAGTCGTTAATAGAACTACTATTTCTCAACTTGTTATTTCAACGTTATCTTATTATGAAATCCCTTTTGATGATGTAATCTTATTTATTACAGATAACACTTCGTACAGGTTAGCTACATTTAATATTTTTTCCTCTTTAATACCTCAAGTTAAACATAATCCTTGTTTTGCTCATATACTTAATCTAGTAAGAGAAATCTGGATCGAATATAAAAATTTTAAGCTTCTTGATTCTACTATCAGTTTAATTAAAACAACTTTCACGTATTCTGCAGCTAGAAAACAGCGATGGATTTCATTTCTTTCTTTAAATGGCCATTCTAATCTCATGCTTCCACCATTACCTGTAAAAACTAGATGGAACTCGTGGTTCAATTTTTCTTTTTGGATTTATAAACATTTTACACTTTTAGTTAATTTTTATATTAAGGAATCTGAAATAAGTAAGGATAGTGCCGTAGTTTCAGAATTGGTAAAAGTTTTTAGAGATCATAATAATTTATTTTACTTGCAATTTATTCTTTATTTTATTACTTATAATACACAATTGTAAGTAGAAATATATCTAT